GATGATATAAAGAGTGAGAAATCAGAAAGTGCTTTGAAAACAGGCAAGTGCTATGTTACATCCCAGTAAAACCTGGCTTTTATCGACTTGGGATGGCAGCCTGTCTGAATAATAAAATAGAAATAAATGCTCTTTTATTGCTATTCTGTGCACAGTCTCCCAAAGGATTTGCTAAATAGGAGTTTTGGGGGAGTCAGCTTTAAGAGTAAAGAGGAGTAACTAGTATTTAGTGTTTCAGTCCCAGTGGTGCCTCTGATGTATTTTAAAAAGTTCATTCTTTTTGAATTAAATTTGTTAGCGTTAGTTATCTGTTTATCACATTCTTCCAAAAGAGGAAGGTAAGGCAAAGGTGAACCCTGGCTTTGTTTTTGTTTAAAAATTCCGAATGGGTCCTCCAAATATTTGAGATTTTAAAAGATCTTTGCTGGCATGCCAGCAGGGACAGCTCTTCTGTCTAGAAGGGCCCACAGTCCTTTGTGCCATTATGCCCCCTCTCCACTGCCCCTGTTCCCTCACTGCCAACCCTGGCTCCACTGTCCATTTCTATTTGCTTCAGGGCCTGAGCTGCCAAGTGCAGCTGGAAATATTTGCATGACCACTGGTGGTCCATGAGGTCTGAAAGGTTCTTGACCACTAGTTTAAGGAAACCTTTGGAGCAGTGGTCGCCAGCCAGTGCTCGCCAACTGGTTGGTGACTGCTGCTCAAGATTATATATATGATGAGAAAATGGAAGGCAGTGAGTCCCTCAGTCTGGCCTGCACCTTCTTGCAGTCCGGGACCCCTTGGGACTGCAAGAAGGTGCAGTCTGGCAGGCAGACATCCCTTTTGCAGTCCAGGGCTCTCGCAGTCCGGGACCCCTCGCTCCTTACCACCCGCCTGCCTCCTGGTGGTCAGTGCACATCATAGCGACTGGTTGACGGGTTGTAACAGTCATAATGGTTGCTTAGTCTTTTATATATATAGATATACTAGAGACGCGATGCACAAAATTCATGTAAGGGGGTTGGCCCTTGCAGCCATGGCATCTTGCCTGAGCCCTCGCAGCCCTGGCTTCTCTGGAAGGTTGTCTGGAAGGTCATTCGGCTGTCTGGTCTAATTAGCGTACTATGCTTTTATTATTATAGATGTATTCCAAGTGCCTTAAGTTCCCCACCCCTTCCCTGGGCTCCTCCACCCCTTGCTGTTTGCTCTCCTCTACCACTACTGTGATGAAGCCATATTGGCTAAAAGCCTTTGTAGCTTCAAATGTCATATCTTCATGATCCCTTCTCACACAGTAGCTCTTTGCAGTATTCAGCACTCTTTATGGGATTCATCTCAGAATCCTGCCCCAGCTCTCTCTACTCTTCCAAATGTGAGTGTTTTCCCATCTTCACCCTGGATGAGCTAACTACTATAGTGATAGGAGACCACCTTCATCCATTTAAATATACATGATCAAGATCCTCATCAGTTAAAAGTTTTACATTGTTTTTTAAAAAATATATTTTATTGTTGTTGTGTGTGTGTTTTTTGTTTT